ATTAAAAATATGGCAAGCAACATTTTAATGATATCAAATAAAATAGTCATAAAATAGTCATCGAGTAAATAAAATATTTGTTCCTAAACAATTTAACTGCGCATTTTTGCAAAATGTTTCACGTTAAACTATTTATCTTTAACCCTTAAACCTAAGAATTTTTTTTAACTTCTTTTAACTATAAAATATAAGACTAAAGTTTTATGAAAAATTATTTTTACTTTTGAAATAAAAACTCCTTGCACCAAAATAACACTTAAAAGTCTTTCTTCATAGTAGAGCTGGGCATATCGAGACAGTGGGGCATAATTGGACAGTTATTCCTAAAGCTTTTTTTTTTATTATCATTATTATTATTATTTTATTTCTTCATTCGACACATTTTACAATGTTAACCTTACATTCAAATAAATTTATACAATTACAAGCTGACTGGGGCATGTATAAGACAAAATGTCATATCATCAAGCCCATTTGTGAAAATAGAAAAAATAAAATAAAATTTTACAACTTCCAATAATATATAAAAGAGTGAAATTAAAAAAAAGTTTAAAAAAACAAATTAAAAAGTTTGCCCAGGCAATATTACAATAGTTGATATGACTATGTATAAACGAAAAATATAAATTTTTTAAACATATTTTATTCATAAGAGGTTTAGTCTTATACATTATCTCTATCTTTGAGACTTTGTTCTCGACTAGCTTTATTTGGCTTTTCCAATTTAAATGTTTATCGAAAATTACTCCAAGTATTTTCATTGAAAAAACTCTATTTTAATATTGTTAATAGTTAGTTCTGGTAGTTAAGTGAAATAGTTAGTTCTGGTAGTTAAGTGAAATAGTTAGTTCTGGTAGTTAAGTGAAATAGTTAGTTCTGGTAGTTAAGTGAAATAGTTAGTTCTGGTAGTTAAGTGAAATAGTTAGTTCTGGTAGTTAAGTGAAATAGTTAGTTCTGGTAGTTAAGTGAAATAGTTAGTTCTGGTAGTTAAGTGAAATAGTTAGTTCTGGTAGTTAAGTGAAATAGTTAGTTCTGGTAGTTAAGTGAAATAGTTAGTTCAGTGTAAGTGGAAGGTTCTCAGATTTAGATGGTTTAGCAAACAAAATATATTTTGTTTTTTTAGTATTCAATGAAAGTTTATTTGCTATAAATCACTCATTGAGATATGTTAGTTCTGTGTTTACAATACAAAAAGTATTTTTAAAACATGAGTCAGAAAAGAAAACATTAGTGTCGTTAGCAAAAATAATATAATTAAGTATTTTTGATGACAAATAAATATCATTAAACAAATTAAAAACAGCAAAGGTCCAAGTATTGATCCTTGTGGAACTCCACAACTTATTGACTCAAATGGGGAGCATGTTAGACCAAATGGTGCTACTTGTTTACGATTTTCTAAGTAGCTTTGCAACCACTTTAAGTTAGAGTAGCTACTCTGTAATTACATAGTTTGTAGATAAGAATCTTGTGGTTGACAGTATTAAAGGCTTTAGATAGATCTAGAAATATTCCGAGTGTGTTACTATTGTTTTCAAAACCATTTAGAATTTGGTTCGCAAGATCAATTACTGCATGCTCCGTGGAATAGCTTTTGCGAAAACCAAACTGTTTATGATAAAGAATGTTATTAGTTTCAAGATAATTGTACAGCCTGTTGTACATAATACGCTCTAGTATTTAAAAAAAAAACAGGAAAGTATGGAAATTGGTCTATAGTTAGATTTTATCGAATCATCGCCGCTTTTGTATATCGGAATTATTTTTTCTAGTTTTAGTTGGTCAGGAAAAATGCCGTTTCTAGGAAAAGATTAAAAATTATAAAAAGAGGTTTCTCAACAATTATTAGGCCGGATGAATAAAAATGAGCAATTGCTTTTACTCAGTAATTGGTCAGCTTTACGTAAATAAAAACTTAACTAATTTTGCTTAAGTAAAGCTGACCAATTACTAAGTAAAAGCCATTGCTTATTTTTATTCACCCAGCCTATTATATCAGCTGAAAATTATTGTTTTTTTAAATAAATTATTGTGTTTCATAATTGTAAAAACAAAATTAGTTCTAGAAGTATCAAAATGCATTAAAAGTACGAAAATAAATCTGATTTTTTTTACTTCAAACATGATAAACACATTTTTAAAAAAGTTATTTTTATTTATTTTTTTTCCAGAAATTTTAAGCAAAAACAGGTGGTTTTTTAGGCTAAAAACATGCTAAAATTTTGGCAAGAGTATCTCAAAAAGTAAAATGTATTAATCTCTAATTTTTAACAGTTTTATTCTTTTTATTTAGGTAAATGTCCTGAGATTTTTTGTCAAAAATATTTTTATCTTAAAGCATTGTAAGATTTTTCAGCGCGCCATATTAAAAATCAAATTTCTGATATTATGGACCAAAACTTTATATTCTTAATTTTTTTTATCTCAGGATATAGAGGTTATTATAATGAATGCCTGTACAAAATTACAAGTCGAATGGACAATGACCTGCAATCTTTTCCAGAATATTAGAAATGTAAAACAGTGAAAAATGCAAATAAAATTTACAATATTGAATATATAAACTTATAAAAACAGATTAAAATCCCCTTTTTTCATATATTGTTCCCTCATCATTATTTTATCTAACCCTTTCCCAGTTGCTGTAAGAATTTTTTCTTTGTTTTTCAATTTTTCTTTTTTGCTAACTTGCCGTTGCTATAAGCGTTGCTTGAGGAAACAAAGTTACTCTACTAAAACCTCTTTTATCAGTCCTAAAAATTTTTTTCTTTTATTAAGATCTATATATTTTTAAATTCTACAATAATTGTTGTTTAAATAATGCAACTTTCAAAAAATTGATTTTTTCTAACTTTTTTAGTAGTCTATCTTAAAGTTTGCTAATTTAATTCATTTATCAAAAGTTTAGGTTTTTGAGATATCAATTTTCATCCTCTTTTTGAATCTTGTTTAAAAAAATATCTGACATTGAACTCTTTAAACTAGTTTTAGTAAAACAACTTTTGTGATGCTTATTGCAACAATAATTCAGTTAAGACTATAATGTCTCCATACTCATATTAAAATCAACAAAACATTACAAGTTCTCTTTATAAGATAAAAGAACTTACCTCTATCTCTTCCGAGAAAAAAAGGTTTAGCAATTAAAAGGTCTCCCATTTGTTATTCTCATAACAGAAAATAGTAAATATTTCGAATGTGGATTGTGTTGGAATGATGCCAGAAACAAAAATTTAGATGTAATATCTGGAGCATTTGGGTTAAAAAATTGTTGCTAAATAGTTTCAGGATAATTTTTGAAGAAGAGGTGATTTTAGGAATAATATGAGGGGGGAGGAGGTAAATCCTTAAAAATTACCAAATGCTTTCAAAAAATAAACTAAAGAATAAAAAGAAGTTCTCAAACTTAAAATATGCTTAAAATCTTCAAATGTGTCAAGTGCCGACTATATTCTTTAAAAAACCGACTATGAGTTGAAAATAGACTTTATTGTGGTAGGGCGGAGGGGTGTCACACACCCGTAAAATCGCCCCAATTGACAAGTTTAGTAATATATACCAGTTTTGTCCTACTAAATATTTATAATAATTTTGAAGTTTTTATAAGTTTTTTTTAGAGGATTTTATAATATTGCACAAAAAGTTGCTTTATTTTAGTTTATATTTCTTTTTTGTGGTGTATGGTTTTATGGGCGTGTAGTTTATATGGGTATAGTACATCCTGTGTCACGAGCGTCTGGGCGTCCTTAAGATTTCTGAAGGACGTTCCCCATGAAACAAGTCCCCTCATGAAACAAGATTTACGGTCTATATACTTTGGCTAAAACTAATCTAATATCGAGAGAAGCATGAAGATGCCACCACTTTTCACTCTTTTACGCAATAATTTTTAAAAAGAAACATGTTAGTAATAACTATGTTTTAAATTTATCTTTTTTTTACTATAGTTTGTAACCGCTCAATGCCTATATATCCGTTTTTTTGAAGAATATAACACGTTTTCTTCCTTTTTTTATTTTCTATTATTATTACCATCGTTATTTATTGACATATTGGGTTACTGCTTGAAATTAATTTGAATAAATTTGAAAACTATTTTTTTTAATAAACAATCGTTAGAAATATTTTAAAAATATAACCAAAATTTAAAAAAAGAAAAAAAGAAAATCCATCATAGTTTTTTAAAATTGTGTCTTAGGACATCTACCAGAGGACAGAAAACGTCTTTGAACGTTCAAAAGACATTCAAAAGACGTACAAAGCGTTCAAAAGACGTTTAAAATACGTTTTTTTAAAGTCCCGTTCCCACTCGCTTGAACAAGAACATTGCAGCTTATGTTAAAAGATTTTCTAAACGTTTCATGGCTTGATTTCATGGGTTTTAATGTCTTTCATAATTCCCGCATGTAACTATTATTATTTAAGTTGTATTTACTAACTTTTTCTGATTTTCACATGATGTTTTTACTTTTCAAATAAAACTATTACGGGTTTATTACCAGTACCGCGGTACTGATAATGCAAAAAAATATGTTAAAGAGAACATGTTCTTTTTACACATTTTTTTTCTTTGTAAGGTTGCCGTTTATAAAATATTTACAATTATTACAAATATTTTAAATTAATAAATTATTAATATATACAAATAGTCGGGGCAAACTACATGTTTGTCTTTGTCTTATGAATATATTATTACCTATTATTTTAAGGACTCAAGTTTCTCATGTTTGTCGTTTTTTATTTTCAATGTTTAACAGATAAATACAAATTTAATAATATTAAAATTAAAGCTTTTTCTTGATAATAAAAAAAGTTATACAACAAAATATTTTTAATAACAAAATGCATTGCATATTTGAAAATTATCAAAATACATTGTATATTTATCAGCAGTAAAACAAGTAATATAAGCAAACTTTAAAGTAAAACTAAAGTATATGTTTTAGCAGAAAAACATTTACATACCAATGATCTTTTAAATAAAACTTGAGTAAAACATATGACCACGATGGGGATCGAACCCACAATCTTCTGATTCGAAGTCAGACGCCTTATCCATTGGGCCACGCGGCCATATTAAGAAGCGAAATTAATATTTAGTATATAATTTAGCGTTTACGCTAAATTACAAAATGTCGAAATATAGTAATTTGTTTCAAAATTATTTTAATGATTTTTATTATTAGAAAAAATATATTTTATTTATTAAATTTATAAAAAATAAATATCAACTTCATATTTATAGCAGAAACGCTAAAAGTCTATTAAAATAATAATAAAAAAGATCAATAACACCAGGAGGTAGGTACAAGTAATTTTGTTTTTTATGAAAATTTTTTTTTCGGCTAAATTTTGTACGAGGACTGATGAAAATTTTTTAGAAGTAGTTTTAAAAATTGTTTTGTTGTGTTAACTTTAGAAATATGTATCGACCTAGATATTTTTTAAATACTAGAACATTTTAACTATAGTTTTACATGATTTATTTTATTTAAATACGCATTTTTTTGATATTAATGATATCGAACTCTTTGTTGTACTTCAAGTTTGTATTGAAGTACAACATCAAGTTTGTATTGAAGAAATACACCCCCACAAGCCATTCTGCGTAAAATCGCCCTTGCGATTATATACTTTAGTACTGTTTAGGATATGATTAGTACTGCTAAGGATAGTTTATTGATGATTTATCCAAGTTCTATATGATGTGTATTCTCATTTGTTCGTTAATTGCTCAAGTTGCCACCCACGCAGTTGCTCTACTTACCCCGTTGGGGCAGGTTGAGCAGAAAATGTTTTTAAGTAATAGACAACACATATTTCTTTAAGTACAATAGCTTTAATCAGAAAAATTTATAATCTTACTGTGAAAAAAAAAACTAAAAAGTTACAACTAACAATGACTCAAGATTTAAAAAATGGGGGCAATAAGCTCCAGATGTTAAACATTTATTTTCACATTGTTTGTGAGCAAATCTCACAGATCCATTCCACGGCTTCAATATCAGCCCCATCTGGGGCTGATATTAAAACAATGGAATACCAGTCATGGAATATCAGCCATTTAATATCAGCCCCATCCTCGCACTCTCCTTAAAAGAGCCTTTTTTATCAACTCCATAATGAAAGAAAGCATGGTTGGCAGACATTTGCTTGCCTGTAGGCATCTATCATTGCCTGGCTAGTTGCATATAACTTCCTTCCTAGTTCCTCTCCCTTTTTATATGTTTGAACCATTTTGCTAAACAACTGTTAAGCAAAATTTCTCCCCCTTTGTACAAAGGGGGTAATAAGCTCTATTGTCAAAACTATATTTAAAACAGTACTAAACTATTTCTATAAATAAGTAACTTTTGTTTTCAATTTAAACTATATCTGTGTAATATTTAAATAATTAAAACATTGATTTTATTTATCTAATCAATTTTATTCAGTTGTTTTAATCACCTTTTTGTCATTTGGGGGCATTAAGCCCCTGCTAATTAAAACATTAATTTTTATAAATTAATTAAACTAATTTATAATCAAGAAAATCATATTTCTCTTAGAAATGCTCTCTATTCAAAATATTTAATAGAAATTTAGTATTAAAGTTAATTTTAGAGTTATTTACAAACAATGTCTTAGACATTCATTTAACCGCCATTTCATTTTGCTAAAATTGATGCCTTAATTTGCTCTAGAAATATTAGTATTTTAATTCATTAGTTACATACACAGATAGTTATAAAGTTGAAAATACTACTTACTAAGTTTATATTTACTTGTATTGTTAGTCAAAACAAACACACGTTTATATGCACTTGTATTTCAAGTTAAAAACAAACACGCGCTAACTTAACGGAAGTTTTTCAACAAGTTTAAAGGAAACAGAAAACATGATGAAAAAATCACTCATCTATAAATTCTAACTACATATCAATGCCATGGGTTAAAAACCCAAGTATGGTTGAGAAAAGATCCCTGATTGATTAGTTATTATCTATGATGTAAAATTTAATGTCCCTCTCTCTTAATACAATAACACTAAGCATTTTATTATATGAAAGGAGTAAGTGGCGCTTAATGCCCCATGGGGCTTAATGCCCCGCTTTACCCTAATTAACCAATTTTTAGCAGGTTAAATTTTGTGCGTCAGATTTGGATAAAAATTTTACTATTTCGAATAGTAAAAACTTTATCCAAATTTGACGCACCATTCATGAGATTAGTTAGATTTAGTAAAAAATGCTCAACTTGCACCGTTACTAAGCAACTTGCACCGTTACTACCTTCGGATAAAAAAACTGGATTAGATTGCATAAAATTTTTTTCATGATATCTTCGTTTGTTTTCATTTTATAATTTTATACGGATATGATGTTCTAAGAAACATAATTCCTATGTTGAGTTATTCGATCCATGAATTAAGTTTTTCTGTAGACTCTTTCTCTAAAGCGTCTTTCGCAAAATTTTTCATTTCATTTTTTGGTCAGTAGATTCTTCTTACTTATTTTTTTTAAAGATTACTCTAATTAATACTTCATAACGATGTTATTGAACATTATTTAATTTTTTTTTTATTCATGATAGGTTTTCAGCTTTTGATAATTATTTTTCAACCCACATAGACGATACTGCACATATTAAAAATAAGCAATTCCGTAAACAATAAAAAATAAACAAACGTAAAACTGGTAAAGTAAATAAATAAAACATCTATTATTAAAAAATAACAAGAAGCGCTATTAACTTAAACATTTTCTTATAAACGCACGGAAGTATTTAATTTATATTTATTGAATTATTATTTTTTTTTTTAATATTAAACTTCAGAACACAAAACCAAAGTCTAAGGGATCAAAAAATAAAAAGAATAACAACACATATTCAAATAATAATAAGAATAACAACACATATGCCATTTAAGACTCATTCTTTACTAACAGAATAACAAAAACATGGAAAGAGAAGTGGTTAATGCAAAATCAGTAAACAGTTTTAATAGGGATTGCAATCCCGCACACTTTTCAATCCCGCGGGATCCGTGCGAATTTTTTAATTTATGTGCGGATCCCGCGGGGTCCCGCGCGGATCCGCACATAAATTAAAAAATCTGCGCAGATAAAAGGCAAAATGATAATTGTATTTTTCTTTCAATTATTTCAAAAAAAACACACTTAACTTATTAAATTGATAAGATGAGGTGAATGAAGCCAAAAACACAATTCATTTGTAAATCAATATAATTCTTAATTTAATGAACAAAAGAATAAGATAAAAATACGTAAAACGTCTTTTAGCTTATGTAGAGGGTCTTTTAGCTTTTCTTATTTTTAAAAATAAGTATGAGAAAGTATCATTGTAAAAAATGCGCTCTAAACAAACAGACCCTACTTAAAGTACCATCACATAATCTACTCCTCAAAGGACTGCATATATAGTCAGCAGCTGAAAAAGCTCGCTCGGCCTCTACGCTTGTTGGTGATATGGTCATCAAGTAATTATGAGCTATATCTAGAAACTTGCCTCTTACTCCATTATTTTCATAGGCAGACATTTCCTGCTTCAATAATTTATCAAAGTCTAAAGAATCTAAATTTGGTATATCCTTTACATTTTCTGTCCAGCTTTTCTTGTCTTTCTGTATATGATTTTCCGATTCTTTTTTCAGAGAATTGTAGGAGTAAGTATTTGGGAATTGTTAATAGAATCTACAGCAGGCTTGGTCGGGAAGCGGGTGCGATCGCACTCGATAATTGACCACGGATATATATATATAATTTTTATTTATATACTTATGCCTTATTTCCAGTTGCGGATTGAGGAGGTGGGGTGGGGGTAGTAGGGCTATAGCCCAGGGACTCATAATGTTAGGGGAAATAGTCAAGAGGACCATTCAGTATTTTTTTAGTCATTTTTTGCTGTGGCACTAAAAAAAGGCCGCCAAAATAATGCAGCCCCCGGCCCTGAAAAGTCCAACAAGATTCAACCAATAAAACTAACGCTAGATAATTTATTTATAAATAAATAAGTTTTTTAATAATGTTAGTTTAAAACATTTATAGCTTTGTAGATGTGGCTCTAAGAATTAAAATAATAGTTTGTTTGATAGTATATTCTTAAAATAATTTATGCTAGAAATCTCACGAAAACGTAACAAAATTCAAATAATACAATTTTTAAAAATATTTCAACAGAATACTCAGGACATTCGGTTAGTATTTTTTAAATACTCTAGAAATTTCGGTTAGTATCTTTGGAACCATTAGAATTAGTTGTTCGTAGATTTGGCGGGTTTTTTGTGTTCGCTAATATTCTTTTATTATTTTTCCGCACCTAGATGTTTGAGAACATTTAAGTTTATGTATGTTTCCATGTAAGTCCGTAAACAAAATATTTTAAATTTTACGATAATTATTTTGCGGACAAACAAGGAAACATACATAAACTTAAATGTTCTCAAAACGACTAAAAAATCTGGCCAATTTTCACAACTAAATATTATTTCCGTGGTCAGTTATCGAGTGCAATCGCACCCGCTTCCCGACCGAGCCTATTACAGCTTCTTTTTCTTCGAGTTCATTTTCTTCGTCTTTATTTCTTTTAATTGTATAAACTCTTGTTAATATTTTTTTTATTTCTTGACGCATAACGGTTCTCTTTGGCATTGATAAAGTATTTTCATTTTTTTTAATTTCTTGTTCATATTTTGTTAGATTTTGTAAGTAAACCAGTAGTCCATTTAAATTCTTATTACGACGTTGTGTAAACCTCTCACGAAGTGCCGCGGCTAAATCAATGCTCAAAAGTTATGATATTGCTTTTGTAATTTATCTAACATAAATTTAAAAGTTGTTTCTGCAGTGACAAGGTTCGATTCTCTCCTGCATAATAGTTCGAGACCAAGTTTTAGTGGTGCCAGACAAATAATTAAGTCATTAATTTGGAACCATTCTTCTTAAGTCAAACGAATTTCTGACCCAACATCAATTAAGGCTTTTTCAATACACACTTTTAGTCTATGAAATCTTTCTAACATATCGAACATACTGTTCGACCTAGTTTTACAATCAAGAATCAACATAAGCTTT